GTATCCTTACATTACATAATTAGTTAATATTTTTAACAGTCTTGTTTGTAATCGCCATTAGCTCTATGATCTTGTCCRAGTTCTTACAAGAGAATACTTCAATCTAGTGGATGGCCCAATCAATCAGGTATTATGAGSAATTTCCAACCAAATGAGCACAAAMMAACTGACTTTTTGACTGACTTTATGRCKTTATCTKTSAGRTTGAGGTTGCAAGAGCAAAGAAACAGCTTCAGTCCATGTTGATGATGAATCTAGAGTCAAGAGTTGTGGTTTTTGAAGATATTGGAAGGTTTGTTGTCCATATTTAGATGTATGTAATTCTTGAGGGGGATGGAAAGGGATAGGAGTGAAAGGGGAAGTGTGGGGAAGGAAGATCAGGGAAATGGCCTCTAGCCATGGCAATTGCATTACCAAGCTAAAAAGCATCTCTTAATCTCCTCGAAAATTCAAGGAGGTATGGCACAACACCCCTAGCAACTAGTTTTTGACTGATGGAGGAAAACCAGGTTGCCAGTGAATAAAAATTTTGAAAGAAAACTAGAGAACAAGTCACAGCAGTTACTATCCTACAGAACATTCTGAAGGACCATGTCCATGTTACCATGTCTAAATCGTGATCGTTGGACAGAAACTTTGGCTGTCGCGATTTTATATGAAGTGACAAGAAATGAAGGAAAAAATGTTACAAGCAGAACAAAGCAGATCAGAACAAGCGAACAAAAACAAAATAAAAAACGAGAAAATTGAAAAGAATCTACGATGGATAGCGTTCAGAGGAACATAGAGGAAGTTGTGCACAAACAGCATATCCAGGAAGCCCGAGTAATCGTGTCAGTCAAAGCATGCTGTCAGTCAAGCTATAAGAGGAAATGATGCACATCATTTCATATATTGACCTAAAGTTCAGACATATTATATTATGAGCTGTCACACGACTAGTCAACCATTTGRTCAAACATTTCCATCAGGTAAGCACTATTTATTCCCACGTTTAAAATACTCCGATTATTGGTTGTATACAGTATACAAAAAGTGATTTATTTCAGGCATTATCAGGATTATTTCGTGAAAAACGTCAACAAAAAAAGCTACAATATTGTAGCTAGAAATTATGAAAGTGAAACCAGCAGGAAAATAGCTCGCAAATAATGTAGAGCACGAAACTAGACGCCAAACTTAGTGAACTGTTACGGTTTGTACAAATCTAATTCTTTCTTTGTAGCAAAACAGAAGAAAACAGTCATAAAACTTGTGTTGATTCATTTTCTCCTGTGATTTTGAAGTCAACTGTGATCAAAGTATATGCCGGAAGCAGTCGGAAAATAGTTTTTTAATGAGAATCATAATCTGTAACTTTGACTACCAAAGGCTGAATGTGAAATTTGATTTCTGATTCGATTTCTTGTGCAGAAGATTCTGATATCATGCAAAGTATAAAAAGAAATGAAACCACTTTATCATGAAAACAACCGTGAACAGGTTTGAACAGATCTTCTGAGTCACAAAGACAGTGCATTATTATGAAGTGTAGTCAATGTTGACATGAATTGAAACATTATGATTTGCTTTAACTATAATAACTTAATGTCATTATCAAAAGCAGTTCCCCAGCAAATTTTCTGGAAAAACGGAAATAATAGAACTGTGACCAAAAATAATGAGTTTCCCACTTCACAAGTTTTCCATCTGGCGTCCGACTCTAACTATGAATTGCTCTGTTCTCGATTGCTCGAAGTTTTCAGAACAACAAGTGTTATTAATTGATGATTGTACTTTCATTTATAGAAGACACGACCGCAATAAATAATTGCAACTCGCCAACTGATCTTTTTAACAAGGGTAGTTTTGGTGAGTTTCTTGGATTAAGGCGAATTCATCATGGCGCATGCAGCATCGGACCCAACAGCCGTCACCATGAACATGAATGGCAAGACAGGAAAAGGTTTTGCCAAACGTCGCCGAAGTCTAATCAAAAGAGTCCTCACAGATGTTAATCCAGAGGTAGTGTTCGGCCAAGAATTGCCTGCGAAATTTGAAGAAATGATTGACGATTTGACAACTGAAAACAAGTGGCCCGATTGGGACTTTGTGAAAGTAGAAACGGAAGCAGGCGTCATGTGGGACACATCGAAATTCAAGGGTACAAAAGATGGTTTCAGATCCACAGATACAAGAATGATAAAGATCAGAGAAAAATTAGGAAAAACAGAAGCAAGCAACCTTCTTTCCCGAGCTGCATTTGTTAAGTTAACACGAAAAGACGACAATACCAGCTTCATTGCAGTGTCATATCATGGTGAATACAAGACCAAGAAACAAAGGGAAATATTCGACTGCCTCGTTGATTTTTTAGAACGATTAAGTAAAGAGGAGAAAAATATCCCTTTTCTTATTGGTGGAGATTTTAACTTCAACACTTTAAGTAGCCCTCAAAAGAAAGTCACTTTTGCAACGTATAAACTGTTGCCTCGTGCAAGTGAAAAAGGAAAAATACAATATAAGGATAACTTTTGTTGGTCGAAGAAAGAACCAAGTGATGAGAGTGATGGTCACAGGTCAAGAGAGACAGCTCAAATGAGATCATTGTTATCATCTACAGATATTCCAGATACTATGAGCCGACAGTTGGAACGGGCTGGACTGCAAGGGATGAGTTTATTTAATGTTTTTGAAGCGCAGAGTCATCGTGATGTGAAGAAGCACAGCTCTAGAAGTGGTCCATTTATTGAAATGCCCGATTTGATTGAGGTTAGTCCATCGAAAGCTACAGCGAAGGTATCGCAGACACGTAAGAATTCCCGGCTGAAAATGACAACTAATAAAGAACCCATTGCCATGCGTGATGTGTATGCTTACGATATTGGGAAAGACAATTATGAACTGCTTGACCATGATCCAATTTATGGAAAACTTCACCTGAAATAACCAGAGCAGGAAAAAAACCCATTACGCTTTTAAACATTCACGTGCTTTTAAAACTTTGTTCTAGTCATAATCGTGTGCGGCTACAAGTCCTCATAGAACTGATTATGGATCTTGAATGAATGTTA